AAAAAAAAAAAAAAAAAAAAAAAAAAAAAAAAAAAAAAATAGATTTGCTTTTCAGGATGACAATTCCCATGCATCCCCTGCCATGGCCCCATGAGCAGTTTAGACTATCTGTGCTTGAATTCCTGATCTACTAGTACTAGCTATGCTTTTTACTAAACCTCCCTGAACTTGAAAAGGGAGATGATGCTATCTACTTTATAGGGCCATTGTAATAATTTATTGTAATAATCATCATACTAATTTACCATTTATTGAATACCTACCATGGGCCAGGTATTTGCTGGGTGCCTTATCCCATTTAAATTAGATAAAAAGTACCAAACAGATCCTGGCACTTAACAGGTATTCAGCAAATGTTTTCTTCCTCTCTTCCCTTTAATCAAGGCTATATGTGCCAAAGTAAATAGATGATTGAAGACTTGGTGATGTGGGGGGCGTAATACAGAAGGTCAATTTTTAAATGATAATTGCTTTTTCCCAAGTATTCTTCCCTCCCTCACAAATAGTTTTCTAGTTAATCTATTTATGCAGTTCAGTATTCTCCGGTCTGACCTAATTTCAACATAGGGAAAACTGCAACTGAAATACAAAAAGAACAAGTTGAGAGGTATATATAAAGGTCCATCTTTCTTTTAACAGGTATTTGTGAACTTTGCCAAGGACCAAAGTGATGATGACCACTTAAAGGACCTGTCATTACACAAAAACCAGACAGTAGTGGATGTAGCAGTTCTCACATCTTTTCTTCAGGATGAGAAAGTGAAAGAAAGTTATGTATGAAGAATCCTGTTTGTACAGGGTGGCTGAAAGTAAAGAGGAATTAGACCTTCCTTTGTACCATGTGAAGTGTTCAGGATGGAGGAGCCAGAAGTCGTCATGGGAAGAAGTAAACTGGATACTGTACTGATAACTATTCAATGCAATGCAATTCAATGCAATGAAAACAAAATTCCATTACAGGGGCAGTGCCTTTGTAGCCTTGTATGGCTCTCAAGTGAAAAAGACTTGAATTTAGTTTATTACATTTATACCTATGTGAAACTCTAGTATGGAACCCAGTGGACATATGGGTTTGAAGTCATACTTTTTTGTTCCTGTGTATTCTCACTGGGGTTGCAACAACAATTCATCAAGTAATCATGGCCAGTGATTATTTACCAAAATCAAAAGCCATCCTCATTCATTAAGCTGCGCCATGCCAAGAAACTGGTTTCCCAGTGACACATCCATTGCTGGCAATGAGTGTGCCATAGTTACTAGTGCCAAGTTGCTCAGAAAGTCTGAAGCACCATGTGTGTCATGCACACTTTTTTGAAAGCTGCTTTGCTCAGAGTCTATCAACATCATTAAATATCAGGTGACAAAATGGTGCCATGTGTGGATAAAGACCTACTTTGATGCCCTCTTTGATGAGCTGCTCTGGTGGTGGTAACATGGGCAATATGGGTGTCTCCCAACACAGGAGACCTGGTTCCATTGTTGCGTTGTCTTGTGCTTGGAGCCATGGATCTCCAGGGTCATCTTTCTGGGACTCTTTAAATATATTTAGATCCTGGTGAGAAGCAAAGACTCAGCAGCCAAACTGTTGGGGCTGCAAGCTGCTGAGGCCAGAGCATGGGATTAAAGAGACAGCATGTGCAAACTTAGGGAGGCCTGTGCCCATTTGTCCTGATTGTCTAACACGGTACACCACATCTCAAGATCTTTCTTATTTGA